CACTGAGCCGGTTGGCAGGTGCTGTTACGTGTGTACCAGGAGAATTCTTGGAAGGACTAAAGCAAGGACGAGGAGAGGAGTGAGCATCAGAGGTGAATAGAATCATGGAAAATTAGGGTTGGAAGGGACCTCAGGAGGTCTTTGGTTCAACCATTTGCTGAACGTGGGGCCCTCCCCACTATATCATCCCAGCCAAAGCTTTGCCTACCTGGGTCTTAAAAACCTCTAGGATGCAGTGTTCCAGTAACAGGTGCTTCAAGGGGAATGCTGAGTAGAGCACATCGGCCTGTGCCCACTGCCTTTCCAGTGAGTCCAAGGAGCCAGTCAAAGCCACCCAGTACCTGGAGATGTGAAGCCACCCAATGCAACTGTACTTGGAGCTGTGAAGGGATGAGGGGCAGGCCTACTTGAGAGCTGGAAGAATCATGGGTGTGGGCCCATACAGAAACAATACACCACCCTCCCTTTACAGAGGGGGCTATTAAGTATGCACCAACAGAGTTGTGGGAAAACTAAAGCAATAACAGGGATGGGAGTGTGGTTCAGAGGTTAATACATGTGCTCCAAGGGGAAGGCACCAAGGAGAGCACACTGGCCCTTCACCGATTCCAAGGAGCTAGTGGAAGCTACCCAGTGCCTGGAGATATGAAGGCATGAGGGATAGGAGGATCAGTCTCACAGGCACTGGAGTCCTGCCAGCTTCATCCTATTTCCTGGTCAAGTAGATGGCTTGTTTAGCTGGGCCAGGAGGAGGTTGAAGTCCTACGTGGTACACAAAAGAATTATAGGTATAAGTCCCCACAGACCTGGCTAGCCTCCTTTGTTCTTAGAGGGGGCCATTAAGTGTGCACCAACAGAGTTCTTGGGACAACTTAAGTAATAACAGGGAGAGGAGTATGAGTCAGAGGCTAATAGGTGTTCCAAGGGGGGATACCACGCAGAGCACATGAGCCACTACCTGCTGGTCCTCCAACAAGTCCAAGGAGCCAGTGGATACAACCTAGTGAAACTGCTTGGAGACATAAATGAGGGATAGCAGGGTGGTCCCCAGGGATCCTCCCAGCTGTTGCCTCCTTCCTGGTCTAGTAGACAGCTAATTTAGCTAGGGGTAGAAGGATGTTGACCACGAGGTCCCAGGAGTTGGTGTGGCTACAGACAAGGTGTAGGGCAGCCAGGACAGGAGTCAGTAACCCCCCCCCCGGCACATGCGCTGGAACCATGACACACAAAGGCATTTCATTTAGCACACATATCTCAGGGTGGACAGTGGGGAAAGGGTTGGGGCTGTGCTGCCACAGCAAGGATTGGGTCCCTTGCAGCACCCCTGGCATGCCAACATCTTATAAGTTGAGGCTGCAGGTGTTTTGGGCACTCGGCCCAAAAACGTTGCTGATCCCTGAGCCAAAATCTCAGCAAGAGATTCTTGTGGAGGCAGTGAAGGGGCCGCAATCTGGCACACTTGAGAGAGGTGTGCATAAAGGTCTTCCTCTGCTGATGGAAGGAGCTGGTGTTGGCATGATCTATAAAACATGTCACATATGCTCCTGTTGGTGATGGCCCCATGGAGGAGCTACCAGGACACCAGGCCTATTTGACACACAGAGTCATGGGTTTGAGCCCGCAAAGAACCTGCTAGATCCATATGTTTTTTAAGGGGATCACTAATTGTCATCAACTTATGATGGGGGACAACAAAAGTAAAAACAGATAGGAGTGGGGGTCAGAGGTTAAGAACAGAGCACCTTGGCCAGCACCTGTTGGCCCTCCAATGAGTCCAAGTATCCACACTGCCTGGAGACCTGTGTGGATAAGGGGTAAGAAGATGGTTTCAGTCTTGGGGTCCTCTTGGCCACAGCCTCCTTCCTGACCAGCTTTAGCCAGGGTCAGGAGGAGGCTGACCAGGTGGTCCCAGGACTTAGTGGGGCTATGGATGGGGGAGTAATGCAGCCAGAACCTCAGCAAGAGGTTCTTGAGGTGGCAGTGAAAGGGCTGTAGCCTGGCACACTTGAGAGAGGTGTGTGCAAGGGTCTCCATCTACTGACTAAAGGGGCAGGTTTTGGGGGTCTCTGTAAAGCATGCCAGATACGCACTTTTGGTGATGGCTCCATAGAGGAGCTGCCAGGGAACTAGGGAGGTTTCATGGCCATGATGAGTCTTCCTTCAGATTTCTTCCCTTCCTCCCTCCTCTCTGTTTAAAAAGGAAGTAGGGAATAGCCTGGGTTCAAAGCTGCATGTGATGGGCTTGTCCCAGTGCCAGCTTTGGTTGGTCTCAGTGCTGTGCTGGAAAGTGCAATGTAGAGTGTCTGGGGCTTTGCTTTCATTGGTGGTGCAGTTACAGATTTGCGTAAACCAGTCTCTCAGAATAGCCAAGTCCAGCCTCTTCCACCAGTGGATTTTTCAGTGTGTTACAGGAATTTGTGTCTTTGGGATCCAGTTCTAGTTGTACCCCTGTTTTAATGCGTGTTAAAATGACACTTGAGTAGGAGATGATGATAATCTTTCAGCTCCACCCATGTTGTATCAAGTGATGTTCCCCAGTTGGAGCTTTGGAGAGCCTGTGGTAAAAAAATCAAGTTCCTTGCTACAGGGTCTGTTTTTTGTTTTGTTGGTATGTCACTTATCATAGTGGAGTTTGTGTCTACAACATGGGCTTCCTTCCCTGTTAAAAGAAGGGGTGAGTCTAAATCAAAGCTGTGCCTTTTTTTTAAAGGAAAAAAAATGGGAAGGGTATGTGTATGGTAGGCGGGGGGAAGCATACTGAAATGTCCTAATAGCATTTGGAGTCTGATTCTGAACTGAAATGTTTTGGCCCATCTGTAGGAAGTTTAAATCAACTACCAGTAGTCAGGTACCTGCAGTACACTGTTAAAGAATGAAAAAGTAACACTGTATTTGTTTTTAGAAGGGGTAGAGGAGCCTTGCAAGAAACAAGCTGTTGAGAAGAGCAAAGATTCCAAGGATGTTGGAAGTGACGGCAAATCTACAGAAGCCTGCAAGGAGATAGAGAGCACCTTGCCTAAAAGGCAGAGAAAGGATGCGGATGAGAATTCAGCAAAGGATTTGGAAAGCTCAAAGCCAGCCTTTACTTTGAACCAAATACCTGGCACAGCACGAGATGCAGGCACAGAAATGAAAGCTGCTGGTCATGAAGCCACCACCAAGCATAATCCAGCTCCCACCTCTTCATTGGCAACTGAATCAAAGGCAAGCTGTAGCTTGAATCTGAAGGATAGCAAACAAGAAAATGTGTTGCTGCCTGAAAAGAAAAATGTATTGGTGAGCACTCCAGCACTGGTGGCCTCCAAGAGCGGTCCCCAAGCAAATGCTCCAGTGCCAGTGGCCTCCAAGAGCAGTTCCCAGGCCGCTGCTCTGGCACCAGTGACCTCCAAGAGCAGTCCCCAAGTGGGTACTTCAGCACCAGTGGCCTCCAAGAGTGGTCCCCAGGCAGGTGCCTTGGGGCTAGTAGCCTCCAAGAGTGGTCCCCAGGTGGGCATCTCAGTGCCGGTGGCCTCCAAGAGTGGTTCCCAAGCGGGTGCTTCAGCGCCAGTGGCCTCCAAGAGTGGTCCCCAGGCAGGTGCCTTGGGGCCGGTAGCCTCCAAGAGTGGTCCCCGGGTGGGCACCTCGGTGCTGGTGGCCTCCAAGAGTGGTTCCCAAGCGGGTGCTTCAGTGCCAGTGGCCTCCAAGAGTGGCCCCCAGGCAGGCCCTTCCGTGCCGGTGCCCTCAAAGAGCGGTCCCCAGGTGAGCACTCCAGCACCGGTGGCTTCCAAGAGCAGTTCAGGGGCAAATGTTACAGTGCCGGTGGCCTCCAAGAGCGGTCCGCAGGCGAGCGCTGCTGTGCCGGTGGCCTCCAAGAGCGGTCCGCAGGCGAGCGCTGCTGTGCCGGTGGCCTCCAAGAGCGGTCCGCAGGCGAGCGCTGCTGTGCCGGTGGCCTCCAAGAGCGGTCCGCAGGCGAGCGCTGCTGTGCCGGTGGCCTCCAAGAGCGGTCCGCAGGCGAGCGCTGCTGTGCCGGTGGCCTCCAAGAGCGGTCCGCAGGCGAGCGCTGCTGTGCCGGTGGCCTCCAAGAGCGGTCCGCAGGCGAGCGCTGCTGTGCCGGTGGCCTCCAAGAGCGGTCCGCAGGCGAGCGCTGCTGTGCCGGTGGCCTCCAAGAGCGGTCCGCAGGCGAGCGCTGCTGTGCCGGTGGCCTCCAAGAGCGGTCCGCAGGCGAGCGCTGCTGTGCCGGTGGCCTCCAAGAGCGGTCCGCAGGCGAGCGCTGCTGTGCCGGTGGCCTCCAAGAGCGGTCCGCAGGCGAGCGCTGCTGTGCCGGTGGCCTCCAAGAGCGGTCCGCAGGCGAGCGCTGCTGTGCCGGTGGCCTCCAAGAGCGGTCCGCAGGCGAGCGCTGCTGTGCCGGTGGCCTCCAAGAGCGGTCCGCAGGCGAGCGCTGCTGTGCCGGTGGCCTCCAAGAGCGGTCCGCAGGCGAGCGCTGCTGTGCCGGTGGCCTCCAAGAGCGGTCCGCAGGCGAGCGCTGCTGTGCCGGTGGCCTCCAAGAGCGGTCCGCAGGCGAGCGCTGCTGTGCCGGTGGCCTCCAAGAGCGGTCCGCAGGCGAGCGCTGCTGTGCCGGTGGCCTCCAAGAGCGGTCCGCAGGCGAGCGCTG